AAATAGCCCCCCTCCCACCAGGTCGCGTTATAAACAGACCCCACCAGGGCGCGGGTTAATATGGGAAACCCATAGACTTATTAGCGACCCTCCCCGGTCGCTAATCGGGAAGAGTTCCCTATGTATAATAGCGTTTTTTTTGCAATGGTTTGCCAAAATGCATTCTACAAATAAGCTAGTGAACATTGGGGCAGAAAATGACTATATTTTTATAGAAAAATGAACGGTCTCTCCGAAAATCAAGCCAGTAATACAGTGGCACCCACAGAGCGTGAGCAATGACGGTTCAAATTAAGGGGGTCGCTAATTAGGCACCTTACCCTACAGCTGAAAATGACCTCAAATGACACAGACGACATTATTTTCGAAATCTTCGAGTAAAATGGACCATAAAACATGCGTCACGTAACCGATACATGACATACAATTTTCGTGACCTAGGATGACCTGGCCTTGACCTGAAAAATTCGAAGTAAAAGTTCGGTACCCTCAGGGTATCTAAGGCATATACCTATAGGTATCAAGGAGTGCGTAAACCAAAAATGAGCCTGATCGGACTTGTCAGCCGGCGGCCAGAGCCTAAGTTGTGAACAAGCAAAAATGCCGATAATTTTTACTTTGACCTGACCTGTGACGTCATCGGTGACCTCGAGGTCAATGAAAATAGGTTTCGCGCGAGAGTTTTTCCAGGGCTATCAGACGCCGTTTGAATTTTGACGATCGGCCCAGTAGTTTCGGAGATAGGAGGGGGGGGGGGGCTCTGGAGAGCCCCCCAGTCACTCGCGTTATGGAAAATACCCCAGTCATGCGCGGGTTAACCCTATTCCTGGCGGGGGGGGGGGGGCCTCAGGAGCCCCCCCTGAGGTTTTTTGGTTATTTCTCCCAAACGCTTTGAACTAGGAAGCTCAAATTTTCTGACTTTTACTAAAAGGCTTTTACGCAACATTTCTGAAAAATTTGAGTTGATCTGACCTCAGGTCAGGTCACCAGAGGCGGTTTGGTGATCCTACCTCAGAAAAGTTTGCAATCACGCCAGAGCTAGAGTTTTTGACCGATCAATTTCTTCTCTTCAGGCTTTAGTTAGGGTACCAGTATGTGCAATTTGTATATCTCAGAATTTTCATATCTGTGACCTGAGGTCAGGCCAGACCCGTGACCTTTATATTGCAAGCCTATGGGAACATATTGAAACGCCTCCTGCTTCGTGTAAACGAGTCAAAACCACCCAATTCTTTCAGTATTATGGAAGATTATCTCATCGGTGATGATCCTGGTGCCGCTAATTGACAGGGGCACCGGCAAAGGTCATCTGAGGTCATGTGACGTCATAAATCGTTTTTCTGTAAATAAATCACGACATGATGGTGCTAAAGACTTGTAAGTGGTACCAAACTGCTCGCCTGCACTGTAAAAAAATGTCACGAGCCAATTCTATGACAAGGGGTGGGTTACACGGTCGTCCATTGTACCTTGCTGTTATATATAGGGACATTATCAGCCTGAGGGTTGTTAGTTAAAGAGTGGCCTCGTGAAACAATTGGTTACAAACGGTAACCTAATAACTTAAATGCTTCCCTAACACCCCTTCCTGCTTATCAACAGATTTCGCGCTGTGTCGGAAAACTAGGCATAGTCTCATAATTAAATCCGCCAGAAGCTTGTTGCTTGCTAGTTACATGCGTGTTTCATTATCGTGTCATATTATTATTATGTCGGCTAATGAGGCACCGCCCTGCACGTGCTTTAAATATAATCCTGCGCACACGCCACCTAGTCGGAAACTCATCATCGGACTAGTCCTGGTAGAGTTTTCGTGTTGCCGAATGAGGCGAAACGACTTTGATTCGGTAGTGCCTCATAGATCCCTGCTACGGTGAGCAGCGACAAGTCTGAGACTGCTTCTAAAACGCGTCCTTCACTTCCGGCGCGGGGCCGTCATTTCCGGCCGCCATTGTTCAGTTCTGCGGCTGCCGGCGGTTGGTGCGGTTGTGTTGTGGCACGGTGCGTTGTGAAGTTCCCGGGCTGGGATATTTCGAAGGTACGTTATATTGTATGATATTTACGTAGCAATGGGGGACATTTTATTTATTTTGTAATATTCTGAACACATGTTGCGTCATAGAATTCACCCCTTGACCGTTGTGGGCCACTGTTTCGTTTGAATTCCGACTGTCGGAAGACGGACTTTCTTTCAGTTGCTGTCTAGCCTTTTTTTCCAAATGTGTAAGCTACACATATTGCCTCACATTGATTTATCTTATACAAAAGTCAGTTGATGTAGATAATAAAGCCATCCTCACTGATATTTTAAAATCAGCAGTTAATTTTCTTTTCTGTTTGCAGAGTTGCTTAAAGTTGTGGGAGACTGAGGCATGAAATATACCGGAAGCCAGCGATATTTCTGTTGGTAAGCCTCGCCCAGGAAAAAAAAAAACTTGCTTGAATCTGCAAAGTATGGCAAATATTTGATGGACTGCACAGTGCACAATGTACCTGACATGGCAGGATCAACTTGCTCACTCGCCTGTTGTAAGTGCCGTTGCGTCAAAGCCCGTGGAAGTGCCCGATCGTGTCTCATGCAACCGTATTATTTTGTGAATGTTATTGGTGGTGACTCGAATCAGCTTTTGCTCCACTCCGCTATGATATTGTAATATGTATATCTTTAGATATTTTGTATCGTATGCTAATAAGTAATAAACGTTATTTTTGTGTATGTTTTTTTTTGTAACGTGGCTGGCACGCTGTCGGGGCTGTCGTTGGCCGGGTCGTCCACCAGTCGGAGGGGCGGCTGGGGAGAAGGAGGGGGGGGGGGGGGGGTGACGCAATTGAGCTAGTATTACTACTGGGCAGCAATAGCAGGCGCTAGCTGGTTGGGTTACCAGGCGAGTCCTGCTAAGGAGCCTAATCGGCGTACCGATCTGCTGGTTTTGCCCTCGTTTTCAAACGAGGTACCGAATAACGAAACGAGGGGCTGACACGGGGGTGCTCGGTTTATGAGGCGTGGGCTTGTTATTTACTAACGAAACAAGCTTGTACCCTCTTACTAGCTAAATATGAGGCGATTTTTACACGTCGCTGCATGCTCATTTTTGCGCCAGCGGTTTTCCTACAAGGGGCTTGTAAGATTTTTTTTTACAGTGTGGTCAAGGCGCGTCGTTTGGTATGCAGCATGACCATACCCCACAACCTCATTGATGAATGACCTGACCTTGACTTCAGGTCAAATTTCAAATTGACCTGTGAAGGTCATCACATACTTATTTCGCATCGCCTCGGCGAGAGCAACAAAAAATGTATTGGTTTTATGTCTCTATGTTTCTTAGTTTAAAAGTTATATAGGTAACTAATTCCAAAACATTTTATCGTTGATGACCTCTGGTGACCTCAATATTGACCTGACCTGAAAATGTTTTATGTAAAAGTTGTAGATCTTTAAACGACCTATCAAACGCCGTTCGCTGTTTGTCGCTGCGATGTGTAGTTTTTGAGATCTAAAGGGGGGGGCCGAATCGGCCCCCCCCGCCAGTTTCTTGTCCCGGCGGAGCCCGCCAGGAATAGGGTTAGGTAAGCCACCGAATCAAAATTCCGAGATCTAAATAACATACATAGGTTATGTTAGGTGCTCTAATCAATTGCTGAATGAAAGTTTCAAGGCGAACCCTCAGCCGGTGTAGCTATGACGAGCATTCGAACTTCCTCTGAGGTGTGGTCACTTGACGACTTGACGTGACCTGGTGACCGGACCTTGAGCGACCTGGGTCTGAAGTTTACACTAGGTACAGCCCACAGCTAAAGTAATGTAGGGTTTTACCAATCTCAACGGTTGGCTTTGACTGGCGATTGTTTAATGCGGAGTGATCGAAAAGAAGATGTCAATAGCTAAAGTCGCAGCTGCAAGGGTGACGATACATATAAGCTACATTTAAAGTTTCATTGTAGTCTGGCTAATCGTTCCTAAGCTTCAGAAGCAGAACATACCCATGACTGAAACCCCACATTACTTCTGCTGTGGACTGTACATGTGCGGAAATGATGCATGAAGTATGAACGCACGTTCCAAAATCAGCGCTGTTCCGCAATGCCGTGTTTGAGATAACTGAAAAACCGCAGGGGGTGTCCAAACACCCCCCCCCTCCCCCGGCCCGGCGCGGGTTTATCATACACATGTTCATTAGTGTGCAAACCAAAAATGAGACTGATGGAACTTGCTAGCTGGCAGCCAGAGCCCCAAGTGAAACATGCGAAAATGTTAATATTTTACTTTGACCTGACCTCTGACGTCATCGGTGACCCCATATCAACAAAATTAGGCTTCTCGCTCAACATTTACTCCAGGGCTATCAGATGCCGTTTGAATTTTGACAATAGGTCTAGAAGTTTGTAGAAAGGAGCTCTATAGAGCTCCATCCAGTTAATAGCGTTATGGAAAATAGTCATGCGCGAGTTAATTATTGTCGGAAGCCCAATGTCCGCTCTTATATGGAGTTTGGACCGTAACGAACAGTAATGACCTATACAGGCTATTTGACAATTCATAAATTCCCCAGCTAAGCATTGCTGAAAAGCAGCGTGCAGAATCACGCAAGCTGGAATGGCAAGGCAGTGATCGATGTCGAAATTATTATTCACTCGATCTGTTTCAAATAGTGTGACAGGAAATTAGCATCCAGAAACATCGCAACGGGCATGCATAAAAATGACGGCCTCAACTGTGTACCGACAAAAGACAGGAACACAGAAACACTTACATTAATTCAAGATCGAATACCTAAGTAATTATGTTTCACATTTAACTTGTATCATAGCAAATCATCACGAAATGTAGCAACTAGCAGTGAACATCAATTAGCTTATAACTGCGCATAAGCTATTTTTCAAATGCGAAAACACAAATCACTCAACATGAAAACAAATTACATCCAACCCATCAACCAGCACATGATAATCAATGCCTAACTATGAGTCCTTCCAGTTCTTTGCGGCCAAAAACAAACCAGTAACCGCCTGAGAAAGGAGTATATTATGATTCGCCGTCCCACTTCACAGAACATCAGCCATCTTAAACACACACAGAAACACTCATAAATGCCTACAAAACACCTTTTCATTTGTCCATACTCGCATACGTATGCACAAGCAAATATGAGCACACATAAGCCCGCTCACAGAGCTAAAAAAGCGCTTCACGCACAGCATAGCAAACATACACCTACATAAGCGTACGCACGTGCACACATATAAATACAAGACCAAGCACGTACAAACGCATACACACGCACATACTTTCGATCATTCGTTCAAATGCGATCAAGATTCCAGAGCCAATGACCACTTTCACTCAGGGCAGTTATGCTTTAGAGCAGAAAACCCGATAGCCGACGCTTTAGCAAGTCGAACAGCCTACGTATAACATCTGTGTTTAACGCTATGCACTTATTTGCAACAGCCGTAATTGTTCATGAATTACAACCAAACATCCTTTATATGTACGCTACGCATCTACGTCATGTTCTACGACAAATAAAACAATAACAAACTTAGCAGTCTAAACATAACCAGCTAACGACGGCAACGTCTTGATAAACACGCGCTCCGTCGACCACGTACCCCCAGAAAAAAAAAACAATGCCAGTAAGTAAACAAAAACACGTAAACAAAAGACAAAACGCACCCATCACACCACAAAAAGCCTCGCAAATGTTAAATGTTTACTTCTGAGCACAAGCCAAGTCTACCCGACAGTACACCCAGCCAGCAAATCGGAGCTTTCCCCGTACGGGGAAGGCCTAAGGCGAGCTTGGGGCAGGCTCGGGGAAACCCCAACCGTTCTCTTGGGGAAAACGGAGCGTTCGCTTGGGATTTGAGACACTTTGTACGGGGAACTTTGTGCGGGATTCGTACGGGGAAACGGTATAACTACCCAAGCGTTCCCCAAACGTCCCCCAAGCTACCCCCGCGCCGACTATGGTTAAAACCCGTTGTTAAAGTCGGTTCCTCGTACGGGGATATCGAACATTTTCCCCAAGAAGATCCTGTGCGAGCCCCGCACATTCCCCCACCCGGCTATACGGGTTTATACTTACTGGAGACCTTCCCCGATCGGGGAAACCGTGATTTTCCCCTAACGTTCCCAGACCTTTTCCCCGCGCGAGCCCCGGCCGTTCCCCGACTTGGCAATGGCCCTACTGCCTTGTCTGCTTTTTTCCCCGTACGGAGAAGCCAGTAAAAACCGCACTGGGAAACAAATCGGGTCCCATTAAAATTGACAATGACTATTTATTTTGTCTGTAAACATACAAATATTTGTATAAACATACTTGTTTATATACAAACAAAATTGTCCACTTGTTTCCCCGCAATAGGGAAACGATAAAACCACACAGGAAAATAATTAGAACCAATCCATTTGGGCATGCCTGTTTATTTCCAGACTTTCAGGACGCTTCAACGACTAGATCAATACACAACAGTCGGCCAAGCATGGTATGTGTCTGTACCACCACAGCCTATACTATGTTTATGTGGAGTCCTTCATTTGATGAAAGGTTAACATGCTTGATATTTGATATACTCGTTACAAATCAAGACAAACACTAAAAAAAGTTATTATTCACTTAAAATACATTGTGAACGCTTAGCAGGTGGCAAACATTACAGCAGCAGCGCAGCAGTGACAAACAACAGGTGACGAACACGAGCACTGGTAACCGGTGTAACCCCAGTTCTAACGCGTCGAACCCCAGTTGATCCTCTGCAGTAGGAGTCTGTTCAGCAGATTGAGAACGACGGCTTTTCTGTAGTCTCCCTACAGCTGGTCCGGCCTTCCGTTCAGTAGTGCCCTGGATCCACAACTCGAGTCTTCCTTTTGGCTGTTTCAGACACATCTCAGCGGTCAGCTGCCGCTGAGAGCCACCTTGCTATGATCCATGTCCCAGCGCATCTCCAGGAATTCTGCGGCTGTGGACAAAAACAAAAATATGTGCACTTGTAGGTATATCAATCAGGTTTACAGCTAGCTACTACATGAAATGTCCTTTTATGGAAACTTCAGCTTACGCTGAAACATGTTGCATGCCATTTTATGAAATTACACTTATTTATAACTTTTTTTTCTCACGAAAAGTGCTTAAAAAATCAATGTGATATACTTCGAATAGTTAATTAAAACAGGAAATAAAAATTTAATAATGAAATTTGTACTTCTAAACATTTGTCATTCCAGGAAAGTCATTAGGTAATAAATGTTTTACGTCTATATTACGCCTTACGAAGTTCCTCACGAAAGCACTTGACAGATAAATGAACGCCGTTTGACAATTAAAATCGGTTGCTAGTTTATCAAGATAATAATGAAGTCCCTTTCACAAACAGAGCTGTCTAGTAGAGCTGCTGAAACAGGCTCTTTCCGAAGACAAAAAAAAAAAAAAATGGAATGCGAAAGCCTATTCAAATACATGTATTTATTACAATCGCGTCAATCGTTCGCACATCCCTGTAAGCGATCGTGATTTCATGTATTTAATTAATGGGCTCTCGCATGAGATTTTCTGGCTGTAGAAAGAGTGTGTCTCAGCCTTTAGACTTGGGTGAAGGACAGGTTGTTCAACAGCTCTAAGCTAACCCCCACCCCCATAAACTGCTTACCAGCTTCGCCTGGAATTCGCTCTTCGGTTGCTCATGCGAGCAATTACGCATTAACTCCACGCCGGGTTCATACTGCTGTTGTGGGTTCTGCCAAGTCCCGTCGGAAGCCTTCCGGTCGTAACCGGCAGACGTCCCTCTAGAACAGAAGCGGATAAAGCATTAGGCTGATGACATTATATTGTCCGGGCAATTTAAGGATAATCTCAGACGGAGGTTGATGACCTCAGTCATTTTTACGTCATATTCTGTATACCCTAGACAGTGATCAAGATATTGTGTGTATCGGAAGCTTTGTCTTTTACAATAAATTTGAGTTAGTATCATCGTCATTTTATATCTATCATGGATTCTGCCATACAACTGGAATTGCGCGATCGGGTGGTGGGGTCAGGGTCAGCACAACAAGCTATGCTTAGTGCGGGCTCTGATTCCTCAAATCCACCCATTCAACCATTCGGACTAAATTTATAAAAAAAGATTCGTTACAATTAAGTGCTTTAGTTCATTACCAACACAGCATATCTTCCTCGTCGAGCTGCGTCCTCCGTTGGTGCCGAGTCCAGCTTCTCACGCACTGACCCCAGCGGTAGATCACGACTTTGGGCACAGGTCAGTCAAGCGGTCACCACATCTCGCCGTTCACCGTCTTCGTTCACAGCTCTGTAGTGTCGCCGCACTCTTCAGTGCCAACCATTGTCTGACCTGGAGCGGTACCTAGCCCACGGCTTGCTCACACAACCGCGCGGCGCAGTGACTCTGGACCGACTTCCCCCGTTCGTCCCGTCTGACGCGTCGGCACGGCCCCATTCACGATGACAGATGGCGACAGGAGACGCCCCTCAACCAGATGTGCGGACGGAACCGACGGCGGCCGGCCGTCGCTACCCCTCCCTCCCCTCCCCTCGCTGCGTTGAGGCGACACTTCTAAGTCGTAAGCAGTGTGTTGTTGAAATTTTGATGCTTTTGTAATTTCAATGCGATGAGTGATGACAGAAAAAAGAAAACGTAATGTTTATGCCACAGCAGTGCGAGAAGAAACATAGATCCTGAAAGTTGTCAAAGTTGATTTTACCTCATGAAATAAGGGCAACAACGTTCGTTCAAAGTATTGGCGTATGCGTGTCCTCATCCACACGGCTTAGCAGGCCCCGTAAACCAAGACGGTTTTTCCTCTCTTTTAGGTCGAAAATTACATAGATCCAATGTCTACAATCAAATGTCTGCGAATAACCGTTTTCATGATAGGTAACTGGTACACAATTGGTAGACATTTGGTCCAGATACGGTGCCGATTTGATAAAATTATCAGACATTATTTTCGATTAAAACACTGAAATAAACAAGTATATGATATGAAGATATGTAAAAGAGATTTTGTGCAAATTTGGTCACTGTTTGATGCATTCGCCAGATCACCTGTCATGAAAACGATTATAAAAAATCGTTATATCGTTATATTTTTTATTTTCTATATCTCCCTTCAATCGATGCATGAGCCTATAGCTCTAGAATTGCTACTAAGACTGCTTTTAACATTCCCAAATCCCAAGATTCAATTTTTCTTTATTGAATACTTGTTATATTGCATGCTGGAAGTCGATCTCATGACGTCCTACTGGCGGTTGGGGTTCGTCTAGGGATTAAGTGTAAAATCCCGAGCGGGGAATTTCAACAGTTCCCCTACTTTTCCCCAATCAAACTGTTCTTGAAAATGGGTCGGGGATAACGCACCCTTCCCCGTACGGGGAATCTGATCTTTTACCCGACCGAACCCCAACAGTGGGGTTTGATTGGGGAATGCTGCTCTTTCCCCGTACGGGGATCGGTGTGATTTCCCCATGTCTTTTGAACATATTACCGATACAGTCGGGGAATGGATGGGGAACACGGACCGTTCCCCGATCCGATAGGGGAATTGTACGTTCTCCCCAAGCTTTCCCCAACACTGTCCCCGCACTTTCCCCAACCGAATTGCTGGCTGGGCAGGCTTCTCGAGTTCATCACTTAAAACTAAATAACAACCGACTCCGCAGCGTGAAACACATCACTGATAGCCTGGTGGGAACATCAGTGATCCGACATCAGTTACACGTCAGATGAAGCATCAGAAGTACGTCAGTGGTGGACCACTGCGCCAGGCGTCAAACCAACAAACTACAATAGTGGGGGAAAGGTCCAACGTCAAACGGGTGAAACCCTCTCCACTGCCCTAGTTCAGCGAAGCAATCCAATCCCTTTGGCGGTTACTGCCTTTTAGACTGATGAACCTTGAAAACTGGGAGAAAGTCGAGGTTTGAGGAGGCTTGGTATTAGGGAGATTGCAATTGAATGAGGACCGATGCCTAGCATGGTGCGTAGGTGACAGGCTATGGATACTTGGTGTGCTAACCGTAATCGCTTAACCCACGTCCTAGACCGCCATCACTTGAATGAGTCTTGGACTACGTCTGCCAGCGATTACAACCAAGCCTTGACATCACCCTTTCTTCATTGCCATCCTCAGTTGGTATATGTCGTCCTTGTCGTAACCTAAACTCTGAGCCGTAGCTCTGGATTCCGCTAAAGGCACGCCCACTTTTCAAGCAGGCGCCTCATAAAACCACAGTCAGATAGACTGCTTTTCTCCATAATTGTCTTCGCCATTCACCGTTATGCTTTCTGCTTTCGTCAGGCCATGTTGATGTCATTTTTGTCTTGTTCATGTCCTCGCCACCATTAAGTTCCGATAACACCAGCTGTGTAACTGTACCTACATGAGACCATGTCCTTCACCAAGTTCTTAACCCATCCAATCTTCAGCTACACCACTCCACCGCCTTCCCACCAGTCCCTAGAACATGCCGTCATGTACGCCGATGGGCACCAGGATCAATATAAAGATGACACAATTCCTGACACAGAGCCTCCAATCGGACGGCACCAACACTGGCGCCAGTTCGTTGGTGATGTTGTGCACCTCGAGACTGACACAGACAAAGATAAAGGTGGTGATGAGCACATTGAGGACAGGATATAGGGGCACCAGCACTAAGACACCATAAGTATTTGCAGCCAACCATATGTGATATTGTCCAATGAAGAGCTCCAGAGAAATCCTCCCAAACCAGGCAAACAGAGACGAATATCTCGTGCGTAAGAGGCCGACCATGTTTCTGAGAACGATGAAGCTCAGTATAGGGATGAAAACGATGTACGGATGGACGCGGTTGCAGTCGGGTTTGCTGGAGCACATGAAGGTGAACGTGCTGTAGACGCCCAGTCCTGCCAGGGATAGGAACGCCGCCGTCAGGGCGAGGTTCCCGGAGAGAAGGTTTCCGGGAGAGTTGTCGTCTAGAGGGAGGTGGCGCCTGGCGAGGACGTACAAGAAGGCGAAGACCATGCCGTACCCGACGCTGAAGCGGTCCAGCTGCCAGCGGAACCACCACTGATGGATGTCATCATCCTCCGTGACATACAAGGCCTTCCACGGACGCATGACGAAGATCTTCTCGAAGAAGACCTCAGACATGAAGAGAATCACTATGATGGAAAAGAAGACGACAAACTTGATGACCATGTAGAGATACTGGATGTGGTTATTTTCGGAGGACTTGGCGGTAACGCGCGGAGGGATGACCAGCATGATGTAGAGCATGACGTACCAGAACGTCACCAGGGGGACAAAGTAGTAGAACTGGTACGGTCGGTTCATACAGAAACACAACGTCACAGTCAACATGTTCATTCGAAACACCACCTTGAAGAACCTCACCAGATCGGCCTGGCCCGTCTTCCAGAACAGCATGAAGTGTCCATACCCAGTCAGGAAGAGATAGCTCGACACCAGCACACGGATGTGCATGTAGATCGGCAGCACCTTACTGGCCGCGGTCATATGGTACACGAGTATCGTAAGCTGCATCCAGCCTTTCCATTCGTCGGTTTGATCTCTGTGTAGCATGTTTGCGTGGCGACTCTCCTCGTTGAAGAACAGTCCCAGCACCACTAGATACCCTAGCGGGAGCCAGAAGTTCAGCGAAGCAAAGTAGCGGTTCTCCTTCATGAAGAACGTCGTCCGATCACAGAGGAAAAAGTACGCCATGATGACCCCCAACCTCGCCAGCGTCGTGACCAGCGTCTTGGCCTGTGAGGGCGGCTGGGGGGTGGCTGCCTCCCTTCCGGCGTTCCTCTGCCTCGGCTGTCTTCTCTTCCTCACCCACGCCAGCATCGCTAGAGCTGCCGACGCCGCGATACAGCACCCAAACCCCACAAACGTCACGATCTGCAGAGCGGTCATAGGCTCCCCACTGTTACAACACGTGCCGTCGTTGTAGTTCATCCTGTCATTACAGTATAGATTCATCAGTATCTGTACAGTGTGGCCCTGAGCTCGGGGACCGGCGTGGAGGCCGTCCCTGCTCTCCGAGAGTCGGCCAGAGCCCACCAGGCGGCTGCTCTCCCACAGCCGGACGCGGGTACTGGACAGCGCGCGGCGGGCAGCCCAGTTGTACAGGTCGATCTGTGGGAGAGGGAGGAGGGTCAGGTCAGATCATGGACAGCGCGCGGCGGGCAGCCCAGTTGTACAGGTCGATCTGTGGAGGAGAGGGAGGGCAGGTCAGGTCAGGGCTAGACGAGCCTGCACAGTTGTAGAGGTCGATCTGTGGAGGAGAGAGGGTCAGGTCAGGTCAGGTCATGGGCAGGTCGCGACGGGCAGGTCGATCTGTGGGAGAGGGAAGGGGAGGGCAGTAGTCAGGTCAGGTCAGGGCTACACGATATTGCACAGTTGTAGAGGTAGATCTGGGGAAGGGGGAGGGCTTAGATCAGGTCAGATCGGGACAGAGCAGGCAGTAAAGAAGTAGAGGTCAATCTGCGGGGAGGAGAGGGGAGGTGTGTCAGGTCAGGTCAAGTCAAGTCAGGTAAAGGAGTAGCAAGGAAGGACAGGTCGGACCACATGGAACAGCCCAGTTGTACAGGTCGATCTGGGGAGAGGGAGAGAGGTCAGGTCAGACAGTCAGGTCAGCAGTCAGGACAGTCAGATCACGATTCACGACAGTCAAGTCGCTCACAGCGCGCCGCCCTGTTGCTCAGTTCAACTCAAGGAGACTGTACTCGTATACTGTATAGTCGACTACAGAATGATGTTCCACTTTTCAAAGGCAATTATTTGCCTGGAGTGGTAGGCTGTGCCGCATCACATGGGCTGAGTTCACAAATAACAGCTTTGTCCCGCTCACAATCGATTAATTGCGTGATAAACGGCACAACTTAGCGCTCCGGTCAACTGATAGCTTCTGAGGAGTGGAACATCATTCTGTAGTCGACTATACAGTTCTAGGAGTAGATCTGGGGGATATAAAGGTCAGATCGGGTCAGGTCAGGCTAACCACAATAATGCCGCGATGTGAATTATACTCACTGATTATTGGTAAGGATAACAGCCAGCCGTAGGAACAGCGCCGAGTGATCAGGATGAGGACAGGTAGGGCCTGAGGATGGAAAAAGACAGGTGACTGGAGGCCTGAGGATGGGAAAAGAAAGGTTACTGGAGGCCTGAGGATGGAAAAAGACAGGTAATTGGGACCACAGCCGGAGATATATGAACTGAGCAAATACACACTACACACAGATCACTATTTTGAACTCAAAAGAACATCCGTTCCCGTAACACGTACTCACATGAAATTCCCACGGTATATGTAGAATACGGAGAACATGGAAGAGGTGTTAGAGCTGCAGTAAATAGCAGACAGCGCAATGGAGGCTAGTCCGAGAATGTGATGAACAGTGTACAACACACGGAATATGACAGGGTTTACAATGCACAGTATATTATTTGCTCTGTTGGGTCAAGCCATTTCGGTATGAAAAGACCATTTCAGAGCCGGAAGGATGGTAGAAATTAGGAGGAGACATTGGTCTAGGCAGGCACCCTAGTGAGTCACTGGGGCTGAGCCCGTCCAGAGGACAGGCCGATCAGCTCCAAGGTACTCACTGCACCCGGCTACGGGGTGCGCTCCCCCGGGAGCAGCGGTGCCCTCCAAGGGAGCAGCCCGCATGAGATAAAGGCGCCTGTCCAGTCCAGACCGGGGGTTGCAGCGTTGAGGATTTGATTGTCCTGAGGATGGAAACGACGGAACGGAGGACAGTACATGACTGTGATCAGGCAAAAGATCGAATGTTCACTGCACTTCACTGCCGAGTCATAGACAAGGACTAAGCATTATGTACAGTAAATCACAACTGTATAGTGAATCTGAATAACACACAAACGAACATCACTACAGGTGGCGCTCGCATCGACAGTTCGCCACTGGCCGGCCAGTGAAACCAAATGACATGTAAAATGGACAGAGATATACCGATATGTCGCTGAATTCCTATCTATCTATCCTACCTTGACCCTGTTCCTTCTTGCCATTAGTTGTCCATTGTCCAATGCCTATGCCAATATCTATCACATGCTGGCTATTTCCACTTCTTTCTTTCTACTTCCCTGTTCGCGGCCCTCTCTCCTTTATCCCTCATTAGCAAACAGCACCCCATCCGATCCACCTCTCACGCAGTCTCTCTCTGTCTCCTTACAATTCGTCCAGTCCTTCCCCTTCCACCAGTTAACCCCCCCCTCTCTCTCCCTCTCTCACCTGCTCTGCCGTACAAAGGCAACACCGATAACGTTTGGGTGACCTCTGGCCTGAGGTAATGACCTCTGGGCTCTGACCCGACGTAATCGTTTTGGTCTTTGCGTGGCAGTGCTGGTTCGTGATGGCCCTCCCCTCCCCTCTCTCTCCCCCTCCGTCCCTCTCTCCCTCCCTCCCTCCCCTCTCACCTGTTGGTTGGTGATGGCCCTCTCTCTCTCTCTCTCTCTCTCTCTCTCTCTCTCTCTCTCTCTCTCTCTCTCCTCTCTCTCTCTCTCTCTCTCTCTCTCTCCCCCCCTCTTACCTGTTGGTTGGTGGTGGTCCTCCCTCTCTCCCCCCTCTCTCTCTCTCTCCTCCTCTCACCTGCTGGTTGGTGATGGCCCTCCTCTCCTCGGACAGTCGATCGTAAAACACCGGCTCCTGTATCGTCCACAGCACCCTCGTCCCCGCTCCTACCAGCTGGTCCAGCACTGCTCCAAGCCTCGTCACGTTCCTTTCATACACCTTCACTGCCAGCTCAGAGCCGTTGAGGTTCTTGATGGCATGTGTGGCACTTCCAAGGACTAGCAACTGTGGTAGTTGGTCCGACGAGGCATCTCTCCATTTGATTACATCACCTCGCATCTTTTCATCCGCCATCGGTCTCCATAAAAACTGCACGTGAAGTCCCAGCTGAGCATCCTCGTAGGCGATATCCTTGTGTCGGTCTTCACCCTCGGGTGGGGGAACTGTCTCACCGAACTGACCAACAAACGCAGCATACAGCTGGCGCACTCGAGAGTCCCCAACAAACGCTATTCGATTTCTCTGTCCCAGGAACTCAAGATAGCGCATACATCTTCTCGAATCCCTCACAGAGTATGTATGAACCATGCATCCATACGGCTGCCAGGCTTCGGCATGATACTCTCCTCTTGCCAACAACCAATCACATGAGTCCGTTCCATATACGACCCTGACGAGTCCATGATAGGAGATGAAGAAGAGCACCAGGGCAACTGCCACGGAGCGCGCCGTAGCGGCGTTACAGCGGTGTAGTAGCGCGTGCGTCAGCCCCGGGCGGGTTGGCTCGGATGGAGGCGGACCCGAGCAGTCCTCCTGAGACGTCTGGCTCCGGATATTGGCTGGAGAGAACGTCATCTTGCAGGCGGCGCCTGCGGGCAGAGGGCGTAGAGGGTTAGAATGGAGCTGTGGTAGGGGGCACTGCAGAGGGTTAGAGTGGGGCAGCGGTAGACGGCGCAGAGGGTTAGAGTGGGGGCTGTGTGCTAGGGGGCACTGCAGAGGGTTAGAATGGGGCTGAGGTAGGGGTCACTGCCGAGGGTTAGAAGGGGGCTGCAGTAGGGTTCACTGCAGAGGTTAGAAGGGGGCTGTGTGCTAGGGGGCACTGCAGAGGGTTATAATGGGGCTGTGGTAGGGGTCACTGCAGAGGGTTAGAAGGGGCTGCGGTAGGGGAGCACTGCAGAGGGTTAAAGGAAAAGGGCCACCTTCGTGAAATATGAAGATATCGTTGTTTTTCATTTTGACATTATTATTTTTCATTTTCTTTTTAAAACTGGTGCCAGAAGTGCACAATTCGCGAAAAAGTATTTAAAACTATTTAACATATTGGTACTATGTTGATACTCTCTACGGCACCTACTGTATGATGGCATAGCGATGACGTCACACTCAAGCCAATCAGCGTTCAGAAGACAGACTCGTCGGATTGTGTCAGATAAGCTGATTGGTTAAAGCTGAGCTGGTTGGAGCTGATTGGTAAAAAACCAAAGCCTCGCCGCGGGTGGCTGTATTGTCGGATAAGAACGCATTCCTGGGATAAGGACGCATTCCTGGCGTATTTTCTTTTAAAATTGCCGATAACTACGAATGGAGGCCGAAATCGGCCGTAAGGAGGTAGACAGACTGGTTTTAGGACACGGACTACAAGATGGCTATCTCAGTTTCAATCCCCATGTTAAAGGTGGCCCTTTTCCTTTAAAAGGGGGCTGTGGTAGGGGTCACTGCAGAGGGTTAGAGTGGGGCTGGGGCAGGGGGCGCAGAGGGTTAGAAGGGGGCTGCGGTAGGAAGGCACTGCAGAGGTTTAGAGTGGAGCTGATTAGGACACATATAAGGGAAGTTATATGGGGCTGGTAAGTGATGACATACATAGAGAAGCATGTGAGGGGGCAGAGAGAGGTCTACATAGGGGGTAAGAGAGGGCTGAGAAAAGGACATGGGTTAAAAAGGGGGTGCATGGGCCATGGGAGTACCTACTACGGGTCACGAAACACAAATGTTATAATGGAGCTGTGTGCAGGACATATAGGGAGCTTAAGGCTGAACCAGACTCTTTCCGCATTCAGGAAATCGCATGCGAGAGCCTATTCAAATACATTATAATTCTTCTCGCATCAATCGCTTGCGGGAGGTGCGTGCGATTGATGCGAGCGTGCTTCCATTTATTCGAATAGGTTCTCGCATGCGATTTCCTGAATGCGGAAAGAGTCTGTTTCAGGCTTTATAGTGGGGCTGAGGGAAAGAGGGAGCAGCGGGGGTTAGAGATACTGCGGGAGAGCTGCACAGGGAGGTTATAGTGGAACTGAGGATACATGACACTGTAGGGGTTAGAGAAACTTCTAGACACATCGGGAGCTCTCATAGTGGGGCTGAACGGAGACGACACTGTGGACGACACCAAGGCCGTATATAGGAGGTAGAATGTTTAGCCATTTGTTTATTCGGTGACCTTGAAAGATGAGGTCAGCGGGTGTCTACCAATCCTCGCCAATATTTATCTTCGAGGATTTTATCCTCTAAGGCAATTTGATATTAACCTTCGGGCTCCCTTAGAGCCTAAAAAAAATTATTTACTGCACAGCAGTCTTAAAAATCGACAAAACCTTGACACCCTGTGACGTCATCTGTCTCCTGAGCCCTCCCTATGTGGCAGCATAGAACCGTAACCCCCTGAACGGCACGGCAGACAGAGCTGTGAGAGGACAGAGGTGAGTTTAAAATGGGGCTGCAAGAGAAGGGCCATGAAGGTTAGAACAGGACTATGGCTGGGTCACTGGTTAATCAGCAGTTGGAATGGCTACAGGAGAGGCTAGATTGCAGTTTTGGGAGAGAACCACTGCGGGGCTTAGAATAGGGATGGTGAGGGGCAGCATGAAGCTTATAATGAGCTATAGGCAGATGAAGCGATGAGTTTGAAAGAAAGTGTGGGTGGGAGGGGACACAGAGGAGAGTTATAAGAAGACATGAGGCCAGAGGGAGCAATTAGAGGTTGTGGCAGAGCTGTGGGAGGGGACACAAAGCTTATGATACAGGGCGAGAATCAGGAGGTTTGAGGGGCCTCGGGAGGCGAGCAAGGTTAGAATGGGCTGGGAAGGAGATGGTAAGTTTAGAGGGGGGATAAGAGGGATCAGGGGAGGTAAGAGGGGATGAGGGCTGGTGAGGGGTCAAACAGTCTTAGGGGATATAAAAAGGTCGGTGGAGGTAAGAAAAGGCAAGAAAAGGGGTTAGAAAGGCCTACTGGAGGGAACAGCAGAGTCTGATGGAACTGAGAGAGGGCTACTGAGCTTAGAGAGATGAAAAACCCCAGGAAGGACATTTGTAAACATGGCCAGAGAGAGATCAGTCAGAGGTAATTACAAGTCATTGGACAGAAAGGACAAGTCACTTGTCACCGCTTTAATCAGCCAACTGCTGAGGAGCAGCAGGAGGGCTGTTCACGGGCCCGGCCTGTGTGCGGTCGGACCGAACACAGCCTCCAAGCTGAAGCTCCGCCCACTGCGTCCCTACGTCAGCCTTCCATCACCGCACACAGCGATTGCTGTGGCCGGTCGGGACTGGCCACAGCGGACCGTCCACCCCACGCAGCCGTGACGTCAGAGCCGCCTACCTATCCCCTACCCCCACGCCTGCTGGACGCACCGCACACACCACACGCAGCAGTGTGCGGTGCCCGTGAACACCCCTAGGATCACATGCATTGTATCATAGCGATCTAATGATAAAACCAATGGACCAGGGGTTTCTCAAAACACTTGATGCATGCTCCTATCATGAACAATATATTCAATAGAAATCAAAAAACAAATAATGCATTTTATATCAGATTTAGTATCAGCGGAAAATCACCCACCTTACATTGCAATACTTAAATAGATTAATTGGGTGAATTCTTACCTGTTGAGCAGGCGAGTAAGACCAAAAATCAAAACATTCACGGGCAAATATTCCAAAAATTCACCGAAACATCCAATCAATGTCCCAAGCATGCCACGTACCTAGTAAACAACCCGACCGGCACGAACCCTCTCGTGTAATGTTCAAAGATGTTTGCGGGATACAGTCGAGCAATATTCAGTGGAATGCTAACCAACCGGGGCGAGAAGAAATTTCCGTAAACGCGAGCAATGTGTTTTAAATCTAATTTAGAACAGACTGCTACATGCGTCGTAATTGAAAATAAATTAGAGATGATAATAACAAATAGATGTTTTCATGGATAGTTATTGTGCGATTATTTTTTGTAGAAAAGATAGTTTTTTAGCTGATAAACATAAAAAAGTTGAATAATCGATGTAATTAAATAGCAAAAGATATTTCATTCACGAAGAAAGTAACTTGACACCCCTACCAGAGGTTCTCAAACTTAGCGGTACCCATCTCCTTGACCCCATTGGTTCCTGGTCCCGTCTGGGAGGAGGGGCTTCCAGGGCTGGCCACCGGGAGAGGTGGGCAGCGCCCCTGCTCAGCTGTGTCGTGTGCGCCTGTGCCGCACCACCGACCGGGTCGATCGGCGCTGCGCGGTGGCGGATTCCATAGCCAGGGACGGCGCAGCGAGAGAGCGCCGGTGCTGTGCTAGTGTTCTGTGGGAGAGGTGGAGCTCTGTTGAGCTCTCACACCAGTGGATGGGTGTGAAGTAGCTGTGCTGTGGTATACCGACCGTAGAAAGTCATGAGGCTGCTAGTGGTGGCCCTAGCTGTGGCCTTGTGCTCCGTCGCGATGGCCAGCAAGGAGAAGAAAAGTTACGACGGAGATTTTCTCTTTGATGAGGAGGACGATTGGGTAAGAGTGTTCCCCATCATCCCCCATGTAATGTATTATACATAGGTTGGTATGCCTACCTACCCGTTATCCAATCGTTGACAGAGGCTCCGTCTTGGTCTCCTCTCGACATTGGGGCCCCAGCCAAAAAATGCACACCGTTATACATCAAGCTGCATCACGAGTTACGGAAGCACCATAAGTGAGATGACGGAAACACTTCGGTCATTTCTTATGTCAGGTCAAGGGTCAGGTCGCCAGAGGTCATCGAAGGTTAAGTTTAGTCCATTCAATTGCCTACAGCTAACTCGGGAACCAATAGAGCTATGCCGCGGAAAAGCGCATTCGACAGCCCTTGGTTTTTATAGTATTTTCTCAGATTTGGCCTCAGGTCAATGGTTTAGCCTCCAGAGGGCAACAACTCTAAAAATAGCAATTTTCACGAAACATGTTAATTGGTTACGGAGCGAGCGAAGCGAGCGTAGTCTTTCCTTAGATTAAAGGGACCCTCCCACCTTCAAAAAAGTTAATGAATTGGCATGAAAATGATGTCGCTCGGTTCAGAAAGAGCAAAAACGAATATCTACCCAATTTCATCGAAAAATATTCTCCGGTTTTCAAGATATTAGACTTTTACTTTTGTTTACTTTTTGGGATCTCCGCTGTTCCTAGCGACTTTATTTGAAAGTGCGGCATTTGTTGCGCGCAAAGCAGCATATACCACCGCGTGCTACAAAACGTTTTAGTCAAACATTTAACGGACGTTCGAAAGCCTGATGACGTCATCAGATTCCCGTAATGGTTAAGAGATAGGGACCACGCTGGTCCCACCCTGCAAGTAAAGGGAAGAAATATCTTGAACACCATAAAGCTGCGGGAGTTGCGACCAGGATAAATGGTGGTTTCTGAGCCTGGAAGCAAACTTGGCTATCTCAACTCAAAACTAATTACGGAGCGAGCGAAGCGAGCGGAGTCTTACGTAGAATAACGGAAATTTCTGAGTATGAGCGGCCGGCCGGCCGGCCGGCCGGCCGTGCGGACGCTTTTGCGAGGCTTATATCTCAGCAACCACTTGACCGATTTACACGGGGTAATTTTTGTAGGGTAGCTTCATTCCTTCTACCAAGTATTGGACTATTCCCGATGCATGTGGGTGACCCCTTATGCACGTGCCACGCGCAAAACGAACATGGTATGTCAAAAGTGGAAATAGCCGCCCGGCCTTAGTTCGCCAGCCCTGTCAATAGATGGCAGTACCACAATATGGGCAGCGGATCGTGCAATTGACGTCAAATTTTCGTTATCTGCTAAGAATTTAATGGCGGATCTTTTCATGCAAGAATCAAGTAAATCGGTCCACAACTTTTCTAGCAACAGAGATATGAAGTAAAACACCCTGCCAGAGCGGCGGCGCGGCGGCCGGCGGCAGCCGTTACGCGCCGCCTGGGAGACTGGCGGCGCTGAACGGTTCCGAATTGGCACTGCACTTAAACCTGTTAACTGCTTGGAATAGTTATTTTAGCAAAATTTTCATTCAAGTGAGGAATAACCAAGGGCAGGAAGTATGTATGCTTGTGTGCGTACTGTGTAAGCCAAGAAACTGCAATAGCAGATACTCGCTAATATTAGATCCAGCCAAGTCCAAACGCATTCCAGGGGATGTGTTCCTGATGGGTCAACAATATTTATCGTTCGAGGGCGGATACAGTTTTAACAATACAAAAAATATTTTTGCACAGCTCTATTCCTTGAATAATTCTCTTCAACGCCTCATTCCTAGTTAAGCGAATTAGCCCACCCTGGTTGAATAAATAAGGCGATTTCGCCACAAGGTCGCGGAAAACCGACCGAAAACGGCCGCGCTCAACGTTAATTTGGGCATGCAGACTCTTAAAAACTCGCATTGGGCGGGTAGGGTTTCCAAGGTATTGGCTTCAAAACACCGTATTCGGCTCCCGAATACGTCCAAGTGACCCGCCTCGTTCCTAGTTAAGCTCTAATTAGATCAAGTGACTCATAAGGAGCGAAAAAGCGACAAAAAGCATGAATTTCCCTATGGCGGCGGGCTGCCGGGTTGCCAGACGGCGCACCGGCTATTTCCACTTTTGACACACCATGAGAGGTGTCAGTTTTGTAATTGTTGCAATATCTCGGTAACTACTTGGCCGATTGCGCTGAAAGTTGGCATGTAGGTAGGCACCCACTAGGCACTGCATATCCATGTGCCAGAGTTGGGGTGCTGCTGCACGTGCGCACGTGCAGGGGTCGTTTCCAGATCTCGAGAACGGCTGGACCGATGGCGCTCAAATTTGGTACACGGTTAGGGACCAGTTAGTAGGGTGCCGTGCACAAGTCAGTTGGGACCCATTCTGCACGTGCGCACGTGCAGGGTGCCGCTTCCAGATCTCGAGAACGGCTGGGCCGATTGTGCTCAAATTTGGCACATCGCTAGAGACCGGTTAGTAGGGTGCCGTGCACAAGTCAGTTGGAGGTACCCCCTCGAAATTTCGCACGTGCAAGGCTCACCCTCTCGCTCGCTCCGTTAGTCGCCCCAAAAGGCGCTATACTGGTGTTAAGGTGGGAGGGTCCCTTTAAAGGAAATAGTTCACTTTCACGAAATTATTTTTTTTTGCAACGGATTTATGATTTTTTATGTTCAAAATAATCAGCAAAGAAAATAAAACCTTTTTATAACAAAAGATTATTTTCTATATTTTGATATAGGAAGAACTTTTCAGTTTCTGTAAGGCACACGCGATCCAGTATGAAAAGAGCATGGGTCCCGAAAATTCTTCAGAAACAGAGAAATTATCGCAGCCACCGGCATTTGGGCGATCTGCTCGATCTGATAATGTTCCCCTGAATGTCCTAATTGATCAGTACGAGAATTTCTCTAGAGTTCTCGTAGATAATTTCTCTACTTTCTGAAGAATTTTCGGGACCCATGCTCTTTTCATACTGGATGGAAATATATGCAAGGCACACATCCTCAACGCAAGACACCTTTTTCGGGACGAGAAATAGAATATCTTTGCCTAGGGTGATCGTTGGGCTGTAAAAGCTCCTGATTTATGCTCGTCTCAGCCCAAGCTACGGAACTGCTATTCCAGTTCAAAACCCATGTTAAAAAGTGAACTATTTCCTTTAACGGAAATTTCTGAGTACCTATGAGCGGCCGGCCGTGCGGACGCTTTTGCGAGGCTTATATCTCAGCAACCACTTGACCGATTTACATGGGGTAATTTTTGTAGGGTAGCTTCATTCCTTCTACCAAGTATTGGACTATTCTTGATGCATGTGGGTGACCCCTTATGCACGTGCCACGTGCAAAACGAAGAGGTGTCAGTTTTGTAATTGTTGCAATATTTCGGTAACTACTTGGCCGATGCGCTGAAAGTTGGCATGTAGGTAGGCACCTACTAGGCACTGCATATCCATGTGCCAGAGTTGGGGTGCTGCTGCACGTACGTACGCACGTGCAGGGGTCGTTTCCAGACCTCAAGAACGGCTCGACCGATTGCGCTCAAATTTGGTACACAGTTAGGGACCGGTTAGTAGGGTGCCGTGCAAAAGTCAGTTGGGACCCATTTTGCACGTGCGCACGTGCAGGGTGCCACTTCCAGATCTCGAGAACGGTTGGGCCGATTGTGCTCAAATTTGACACATCGCTAGTGACCGGTTAGTAGGGTGCCGTGCACAAGTCAGCTGGAGGTACCCCTCGAAATTTTGCACGTGCAAGGCCCACCCTCTCGCTCGCTCCGTTAGTCGCCCCAAAAGGCGTTATACTGGTAATAATTTTTGACTTAAGAGAGTCACGATATTAATTTTGCCAGCATCGTTTTCCTGTCGTCGAGACGCGTCGAATCAACTATACGTTGACCTTGAAAGTACATTTTGCAAATTTGACCTCAGTTCAAGGTCATGACCTAACCGGTGACCGGAAAGGGTCATGTTGCATATCAGTCGTCGACTGATATGCAACGACTGACAGTCGATCCGTATCGTCGAGCTGAACACATCTGACGTAGTTTCACCGCTCTAGCACGTCTCTATCAAAAGTTATAGTAAAAACTGCTGGTGACCTTTCATAACCTGAGATGTCCTCAGAAGCACACAGAGGGGGTCACAGGTGCATTTTTCCGCTTCAGTGTGCCATTTTTATTCATGGACAGATGCTTGAGAGGGTTTAGAATGACGCTCGTCCCAAGGAGGCGCATTTTAATTTTCTCCCATCATGACTTATAACGAAGAGGTCGCAAGGTTGACTTTTAAGTCAAAGCCTTTTTTTAGGTAAGGTCACTTGACGTTACCTGGTGACCTGACCTTGAACGACCCGGGTCTGAAATTTTTCACATGTGCGGAGAGGATTTATGAACATGTGTACAAAAAACGCGGCGCTGTGCACCGCCGTATTTTTAGATAGGTATTCGCGAAAAAGCTGAGGGGTGGCGTAAAAACGCCCCTCCCCCCAGCACGGGGCGAGTTAACCTTTGCACGGTCCTAAATTGTCGCATAACTTCACAACGCCCTCAAAACCAGAGGAGCTTTCACCGGGAGATGAAAATTACATGTCATAGAGTAGTGGACTCAACAAGACTTGTAGAATGGATGGTATGCGTCATGAACTCTGTCGACCAACTTTAGAACCTGAGTGGCTCTGACCTGAAATTGACCCTAGGTCGACACCTAATGTTGACCTCACCTGAATTTTCCGCAAGGCTCTAGCTTAACTAGAGCTTGAGCGGCGAGGAGGTGTCGTACCCCCTTCGCCGGGACGTCTGAAGAAAACCGATCATCCGGCGAGGGTCAAGATGAGATGACCTCCTGCTGTTGAACTAACACGAGAATGTCCGACTGACCCGTGCTTTGTTCTTTTTCAGAAAGAGAAGAAAGAGAAGCCAATAGTAAAAACATGGATATGGGACCCGGAAAGTGAGTACCAACTACCTACGCAACTTTGTGTATAAATGTGCGCCGGGGATCCATCTGCTCTTGCACTAATTGCATGTTTTTTTTTTACTTTTTTGCTTGTGACTTTATTTATATGACACGTCTTTATATTTAGGATTAAAGAAAGACAGAAAAACAAAAACAAAAAATCACGTTTCCTACTGAGGCGTCCTTCAGGTTGTGCATTATGAACAATAATAGCCTACGACGTAAAAGTGAACAAATCAATGACGTCACTCTCTGGCGCACCCTCAGGCGGCCTGTGTTCTGCGCTGGCTTGCCGATCCAACGAGATGTGTCTACTGGAGGATGCGTTCACCGCAGTCTGCGTGAGCCGAACCGAGCTGAAAACCAACGGGTGAGTGCAAATGAACTGGTTAAATAGTGGCGAGCTGGTAGAACAGTGGTTTTTGGAGCGGAGGATTCAGGTTCGATCCTCATGCCGTCCATATCTGGCTAAGCGATGTGATTTATAAATAATGGATCCATTGAACGTTATCTCGATAGACCCTGTGGTGAAATCCCTGGGCCCGGGTTTCCATATTTATCGTCTTTATGTTTGTAGAATATATAAGCATCTATGAAACCATCTAGAAAAATATGACAAATATCAAACATATTACATTGCAGCGGCGTTGTCGAAACGTTAGAACCGTTGGCAGTTAGGGTGGCCTTTAGGGCTACGAACCCGAGTTTTGTTCCAGTGCAGCCATTGCATGGACGAACGTGACCTTTCTGCCAGCTATGGTGGGCGGTAATGGAGGTGCAGAGAGCTACGGGAGCTCGTCCGATTTAATTTAGAGGCAACGTTCCTGAGGGCGCATTATTCCTTGCTGGCGCATTGATCTGTGTTGAAACTGCGGAACATTGTAACTTCAAATAATGATGCTGGTAACGGAAGGCCAGTTTGTTTTCGTGTTTCTGTTGACCAAAACGAGAAGTTCATGCTTAAATGGTAATTTTTAATAAGAGTATTGTTAGATGCGTGTACGCGCATAATATATAATAGCTATTGCGCCTCTAAACCCCGGCAGGAACAGTATGATACCAGTGGAAATTCTTTGCAGGGAAATACTGCATGCTGTTATCTTTTTTTCAAATCATCGAATACTGTTCTAGTAAATTTAAGTTTTTTATCGTCCTAAAACAGAAAGTGTTATTCTACGTTGCCAGATGTTATCCATCAAAATCTGTCGACATTATCAATGGAAAGCCCTGTCTGGCTGTGGCAAAGTCAACTGAAAAAACCCTGAGCTAATGGATCGGCAAACTAGTTTCAAGCGATATCGGACGGCACCGATATCGGAATTGGTAGAGAAGCTCCACTGAACTCGGGGTCGGTGGAATGTAGCTATTAGTCAAGCAGACGTATCTGGCAGCGTGAAGTCAATTACAGTTATTATTTTACAATATTAGTGATTACTGATTATTTAAATTCACAAGGGATGGAGACTTCCACTGACGTCCAACTGGCGTCTCACTGAGCAGACGTCCAAGCTGGCGTCTAACTTGGCGTCTAACTGTTGGACGGAGACTTCCAAGCTAATAGCTAGACGCGTCTTCTATAGAGCCTTGGACGCGTCTAAAGTTAGCAGTCGCCAGCTAAATGCAGCCGCCGTCCAGCTAGACGCGTCTACTAGGGCTTAGACGCGTCTAGCTAGACGCGAAATGGAAGTCTCCACCCAAGGCGTCTCATATTGAATGTCTAGTTGCCTTGCTCTCCACGTCTGTCATATTCCATTATGTCATTCTCTTCGTAGCCATTCTTCAAATTTTTATCCTGAAACTCATTTTCCGTTTTTTCTTTTTTCCTGTCCTCCAGCTTCCCTGATCCCTACTTAGGTTTTCCCCGTTTCTCCTAGCCTACAGGATTTTTGCCGTTTCTGTTTCTCTTCCTTAACTATCTTACGAGTAGCCAATAAAAACGAATCCCGACGGTTTCCTTGACAACGCCAATGCCGCGCCTCCCTTGCGGATTACATTTTTATTTAGTGGTCGTGTTTCACCGACCTCTAGCGCTGACGTCTTTATTGGGACGTTCTGTCGGATTGGGGAAATGGTAAATTGATTGATTGCCCACTGCACGTCACTAACGCCCGGATATCTGCAGAGCTGGCCGACTTGAGAAGATCAATCCGCCCCTCGGCGTCTGCGTGGGAGTCCTTTGGGAGGGTCCTCTCTATTCTGTGGTGTAGTCGGTAGAACGTTGGTCATGGTGGTTCAAGAGATCGGCTTCGAGTCGTTGCGACAATCGATATATCCGAAGGTTGGGACTTTCAATTAAGAACAATTACTATTCTTTAGAATTGTGATTTTCTATTGAAAATCCCAACCTGAGCTACCTCTCTAGGGGGACTATGAGAGGTGACACTTGCCGGCCCGATATCCGCAAAGCTAGACAACTATTCCGATAGCAATTTCCGGTGGGATCCAACTCGAGCAAGTTGGAAGTCATACGAATTCTAATTAAAACTTAATGTCAACTAAAAAGAGATCCAGCTACAAAGAAGCCGAAAGAGTCCAACTCAAAGGAGAACAGCCCAAGACTGGGTCCAGCTCGGACCACCCGGCACAGATCGATTGGGGGAGGGGAGCTTAGCTCACAGCGCTACTGACAGGTCGTCAAACTGTCAACTGTTAGCTGAAGCCTGAACGTCTGCTCTTGGGGTCGCTGTCATGATATCAAACAAACGTTACGCCCAACAACGCCAGGCCTGCCTGTCTCAGTGGCCAGCAGCGTAACGTTTTGACAGGCAAAAGGCTTCCATTTGATGTCATAACGGACCAGCTGACATGCACTGTTGTCCTGTTCCGTCACCTATTCGGTTCCCATGACTTGGGTCTATCATCCTCTACACTCTGCTACACTTCAAGATTTTCATTCTCATCCCGAAAGCCTCTAGGCATTGCCTTTCTAGTTTCTCCCAATCGTTTTGTTTCTCCGGGATTTCCTTGGAAATTTATCGCTCGACCAGAGTCGTTTGTCTCAGATCGGTTCAATTTGAGCTCTCTGGAAAATGGCGACGCGCACGAGCCTTTGTCAGCGTGGGCTCCGCCATCCCGGAGATGCGTCGCCAATATACCGTAAGGACGACTTTGATTCAGAGCCTGCCCAGATTTGGACTCTATTGTCTTTGAATGGGGTTGTTGCATTCAAACAGGGAAACTGCATATAGGGGCAGTATAAATAGATACCTACTGGCAATATTCTGATGCAGGAATCGATTAGATACTGCGGAGACCGGAAGAGCAGGAAGATTGCTTTTATGACTGTACCGTAAAACATAATTTAGGGAACATTGCACAACTTTGAAGTTGCAACTCTCTGCTTTCTATGAAATATCAATGATGTATGCTCATCATAACAGGTATTTTGGTGAAGTTGATAGTGTTTTCAGATACATTCAGGTGCGTTACTGCACTTGGATTTACTTTAGCGTTCGCTCCACTTTTCTGCTTTGATTCAGGGCACAATCACCTGATGCAGCGGCATGTCACGTGATACGACCAGCTTACCGGAACCTCTTACGACTCACGTCACGTGACAGGTGCATCAGCCGGCCGCACCCAATCCCTTTGTCACGGGCTGCCACGACCGCACCCTGCTGTATTATCACGTGACATCAGGGGCAGCCAGGCGGCACCTGCTTTTGGACGCCGAGTCAAATCTGAAATGATATGAATGGATTGTTAGATAAATACGAGGCGCTCTACGTCGGGCTGCGTTATCAATTCACTTTGCTTGCTTGAAGCTGGGATTTTTTTTCCTGAAGCTGCTGGCCGTTTTGGAATGCCTACGTAATGAAAGTCATGATAGGCTTACGCCAGACAAATTACAAAATTCAAGGTCCGTTCTGGACAGCCATGGCTGCGAGATAATTCTCATTTAGCAATGCTTCCACCCGTAGAATTGAAACTCATTTCTGCGCATAGGCCTCTTTAAAAAGGTATTTCATGTGATCAAAAATTGCAACATGCCTTGAGACTTAATGGTTAGTATGTAACGGAAATCGTTAGTATTATCCTGATCACTTTTTTTTCTACGGCTCGGAGTAGGGACCAATCTTTTCTGATAAAATCTTTCTCAGGGATGTCCATGGCCTAGAAAAGCCTCGTGTTGAATTTAGCGGCCGACACGGCGCCATCCGGAACCAATCCAATATGGCGGCGCCCACGTCCGTCTGTGTTCAGGGGGTGTGAGTCACCAGCGCCGCGCCGGCTGCGGAAACTGCAGCACTGTCTGTGACGTCACTAAGGCAATTGTCCAGACTGGGTGTGGCCTGTCTAGTGGCACAGCTGATACAAATACGGCGTCAGAACTCAGAAACCTTTTAATATATATAGCATTGCTGTGATGCTTTGTGAGGTGGATGTATGCCACAAACGTTAGCGTCTTTGAGACACTTTTTGCCTTTTTATTTATTTACTTATTTGTTTATATATTTGTCTTTTATGTTCCAAAGCTTGTCTCACTGCCTCTGACAGCTCGTAAAAGACACTATTATCAGCGTACCAAAGTAGCCACAGCGTCATTTTCCATCAAACAAATATCAGCCAACTTCAAACTTTCTGGAAAATGGCATCAGTTAAAAGACTGCCAATAGTGGACTGTGGACTAGCCATACAACTGTGAAACTGCTTGTTCCTTTTATTTTGTTTGTTCTTTATTTGAAGAAGTAGGAATTTAAGTGTACGAGTATGAAATGAAACATTTATTTTTTTAGTTTCAGTCTTTCTGTCTTTCCAGGATCAATGTTGCACGATCGGGAGGTCATGTTTTTGATAAGTGATCGAAATTTCGAAACACTCCATATGTTATAGGAACACAAACCCCGTATTACAAATACTATGTGTATATGTTTCTTTTGAATTAAATATGCAATGCGCTTTGTCCATGTTCATGTATCTTTATATATTAACCTTAGTTACGTATCTGCATTAGCTATACTGGTAGGTGCTTGGACGAATAATAAATAGTAGGAAGCAGTCCCTGTGCCATGTGCTTTGCCAGTCCGCACTGGGGCCTGACCGGGTTTGACCGAACAGACTGAGTTGGGGCTGGGAACTGGCCAGGCCCGACGAGGAGGGGGGATAGGGGGGGGGGGCGGAGGGAGGGTCGATCGATACAGGACGACGCCGCTTCGTCGGCAGCCGGTCCGGGCCGGCCCGGGTCGGCCCGGGCTAGTCGGTATTGGGCTGGTCGGCCCGGGCTGGCCCGGGGTTTGGGCTGGGTGTTTCACAGCAGCATTGGTCCCTGGGTGGTCCTAGCAAACAGCATTAGCCCGGACAATCGCTCTGGGTCCAAACAGTCCAAGGCAGGCACTGTGGTCCGGGCGGCTCCGGATATTCAGTCCTTTTACTCTGT